TTGCTTCAGATGCCCTCCTTGTGTTAAAAGCACAGTAGTTTAAAGCTCAGCCTGGTACATCCCTTGCCAAGTCCTGCAGAATACCCACCCCACCCCTCCCCACTCCTGGCCTTTCGCCATCCCTTCTGTAATCCTCTGCTCAATGCTTTTGATTTTCCGTCAAACTTTTTCCTCAAAGGCAATAACATAACTATGTGGAGTAATTTCCGGGTATGTTTCTGTGTGACAGCCACTTTAATGGGGCCCTGGTCCCACCTCTGACCTTTTACAAGCAGATAAGAATGGAGGAGTGAACACGCAGCTTCGCCTTCCACAGACATTCTCTGCAGTTTCCCCCTCCCATTCCACCTTCTTTTTTTTTTTCTTTCCCAAACACAGCTTTACTGTAAAGATTCTTGTTTAGCCTTCTACCCAGTGTGTAATCTCAATTATCTAAAAGAGTTCTTAAATACAAAAATACTTTCCTTCCAGCCATACCTCCAGGGGCACATGGGTATTTTGACTTTCACAAAAAACTTCTCTCTAGTTTCAGAGGGGAACTGGGAAAAGGCCTGCAGCCTCTCAGAAGGCTGTGAAGTTGATTTCCTGAACCTTCCTGGGTCTGATGCGGGAGGCTCGGGGGAAATGGCGCTGCTGGTATGCCGCAGCAAGGGGTGGGCACCATGCACGCAACGTAGGCATGAGGATAACTCTGCAATCCCAAGCAAAGAGGATTGCTGGAAGAAAACGGTGGGGCCTTGTGATGCTTAGCACCTTGACAGGGGGGCAGAGCAAGTCCCCAAAGCATCCCCTGAAGATTTTCCCTCCAATGGTTTGGTCAGCAGCAGAATATGAAATAGAAACCCGGTGTGCCATCTCCCAGCCCCCTCCACCCCAGAGGTACCGACAGAACAGTTGTTCCTGATATCCCTGACTGCCCCTTTGCTAATTCTACAGGAAAGAACCAGAGAAACACAAATAAATTAATTAAGATTTATTTATAAAATCTTCCAGAAAAAAAATACCTGAAATCTGCCTCAGAAAATCAGGAAAAGATTTTTCTCAGTTACTTGAAAATAAGCACAAGGAAAACAGTCTCAGGAGACTGAAACCTCTTTTGTCCAACGAAAGGTCATTTTCTCTTGAGCTCCAGGAAAGTGGCACCTTTTACCCCCAGTGGAATAAGAATAGTCCCAGTCCCCGCAGAATCACTGTAATCTAGGGTTTGAAACCAAGTGTGAGTGTCTGGCCCTGGCTGAGCTGCTGCATCTCTGATCAAGTATTCTGCCTGGTTTCTTCCTCACTGTCCTGTGGACCCGGGGTGACAGTTTCTACCTGCATCATGTTGTGGTTCCCAATCTGAATCATTCGAGCGTGTTGAATGACAATGCCTCCCAGACCTGGCATCATGTTGTAGTGGCCTGATGGGAGATGAAGTGGTTGGAAAGGAGGGGGACCCATCTGAGCAGGCGTGGGGTGACCAGCAGTGGGAGGTGGGTATGTGGCAGGAGGGACAGTCAAAGAAGGGGGACACCACAGTCGAGGTGATTGCTGCCCCTGTGTTGCTGATGGAGGCCCCTGGGGAAGGGAGCCAAGGTTCAGAGCAGCTAAGTTCTGCAATGGTTGATACTGGTCCTGATAGAGCTGTAGTTTCCTTCTCTGCACCAGGTCCCACATGGCTTTCCTCTCATTGATCCTGCTGGTGGTAAAGGTGTTCTGCACTGTCCTGGAGAATCCGGGAGAGTTCTCATCCAAGGGCGTGAGCCCGCCAAGCATGCTGGGAATCTGACTCCGCTCCAGGGGGTTCTCCTTGGGTACAAAAGGGATGACTGAATCGCGCTTGGATGGTTTCAGGATGGACTCCATCAGAGCAGTGTTTGTCTGAAACATAAACAGGTTGCATGGGAAGTTCTTGGTCAGCAGAAGGATGATGAAAGCAGAGTTTTCCATAGCATCCTGGAAGCAAGTCAGACGACTGCGTCCGGCAATGAAGAAGTCCTCACAGAATGTGGCACCGTTGGGAACCCCCATGTTCTCCAGCAGGTCCTTGACCCGATGGGCAACAGTCTCATCTTCACTAGCGTGCAGGACAACAAAAGTGAAGAACCTTCCACCATCTGGCTCTGATGTGGGCATTGCTTTTACAGCCTGGGGAGGAGGAGGCCAGGCTGGAGAGGGGGATGAGTGGAGGGGAGTGGGATATAACTTGGAAGGAGGTTCCTGAATAGGAGGAGGAAAGGTTGAGGAGAAGGGATAGGTAGGAGGAAGAAGGGATGTTGACATGGAAGCAGATGCAGTGTTAGAAGAAATGCCTGCTGGAACATAGGAGTCCTTCATGGACATGTGGGCAGAACCAGTATCTACTGTAGCTCTTGAATCAGGAAGACCTGTAGATAATTGCATTTCATCTTGTTTTTTGTCTGTGCTCTCTTTTGGTGCATGAGGTTCTGTTGCCACTGTGCTGGAAACATCACTACTTTCGTCAGGTTGGTTCACAGCACCCAGCGCAGGCGGCTGTGTTTCAGGAACAGGGAGAGTTGGATGACATGACCTGACCTGCAGAAACTTCTCCGGTCGGGGGACTTCGGCACCTGTGTTCTGCCCGGGATGAGAGTTGGATCTGCTAGCCCAGCTTGTTTCCTGCAGGCTGTGGCTCGGTCTGTCCCTGTCAGGCTGTCCAGCACCGCTGGTGCTCCCTTCACACAGTGGGCTGGGCTGGGGGACATGCTCGGAGGAAGGAGGCTGGGTGTGAAAAACAACTGTTGGTGACGGACTGATCTCAAAGTGACTGGGGAAAGAGGGACTCCCCAAAGAGCGCAAGGTCTGTGGGCCTGAGAGGTCCAAGTTGGATCCAATCTGCACAGGGGAACTTCTCACCACGTAGTTTGGGCTGGTGGTATGGAGAGATCCTATGGCCGCATCAGATCTCAGTGTCTGAAATTTGTCACCTGAGCCCATGCTGATGTCAGAGCCATGTTTTTCCTGGTCCTCCCCTGGGATGCTGTTGAGTGTGTCCCCCTGCGTTTCCCTGCTGGCGTTGCGGGCTTTGGTGGCAGCCTGGCAGGCTTTGTCCATGGCTTCGTGACTGCACAGTTTTTCCTCCGCCAACACTGAGTAGATCTGTGCCAAAAGCGCCATGGCACCTGCATCCAGCTGGGGAGGCTGCAAACCCTCCCCACCTTCCTGCGCTCCTGCAGCGCCCAGTTTGGTCTGGTGGATATACTGGGCTGCCCGGTTATCTCTCAAGTCATCCAAAGAAATTCTTGCATCCACTTCTTGCCCCAGAGTAAGCAGGACCATGGCTTGCAGTAATTTGCTGCTGGGCCCAAATATCAAGTGCTTCAGTTTATGTTTGAAGCTAAGGAGTTTATCTTGTGGGATCTGGGATAAAATATTAAAAACGTCCTCAAAGCTTGGCTGGAGCTCAGTGCTCTGTGCCATCTCATCAGCTGCTAGCCCAGATGATGGACTGAAGCAGCATGGATGGAAAAAAACATATTACGGCACTTGGAGCGAAGGTTTGTTTCCCTGTGGTGCTCTGCGATGCCCTGGTCGCACTTAAGGTACCGCACTGGCGATAGCGCTTTGCTGCTCAGGGGCTCATCTCTGAACCGGGATCTCTCTGCCCTGAGGAATCAGCCAGATGGACCTGCAAGAAGAACACAGGACAACATTCAGAAATAGTGATGTGGGGAGCTTGAGCTTGCAGAGCTCCGAGGCTCTCCCTCACAGGTCTCGAGTATTTTTGCATCCCTTTGGTGCTTGCAGGTCTGCCAGTGCTCCATGCATTCCAACCCTGTTATTAAGCAAAGAGCAAGTTCTTTGCATTAATTTCCCATTAATTACAATTATTTTAAAATAATTGCTGAACTAATAATGTATTTGTGTAAATCCAAGTGCCTGTCTCCTCCAGGCAGCTGGTTCCAGCAGCCCCGCAGGCTCCTTGCGATGGTCAGTCGAGGAATAAAGCGTGAGGAATAACGCCCTTTCAAATCGCTTGTGCCCTGCCAGGAGGGTTGGTAACTCATACGCATCCAGTGCCAGGGTGCCTAATGTAATCGTGGACATTATCTCTGTCCACATCTAATCCCTGAGCCCTGCTAAACCCTTGCACTCACCAAAGGCCTCTGACCCGGGTTAAATTAAACAGCAGAACTTGTCCGGAGTGGCGGAGCGCGTTCCCGGAGGGTCCGTGAGCAGCCGGGAGGATCACTGCTCGCAGGCACTGGCTGAGCCCGGTGGAAAAGCTTTCCCTATTTAAAGGGAGCACCGGCAAATGCCCCAAAATAGCTCTCAACTGGGGAAAGTTTATAATTTCAAATTGCTTTTTTCTATCTCATAAAAATCCTCTAATTGCCTAATGAAGGAGCTGGAGCTGAACCTGCGGAAGTTGCTGGCTCCTCCCATGAAAACTTCTGACTCATTGAAACAGCGGCAGAAGGGAAGGCGAGGCGAGAGCAGGCGCTCGAAACGGCGGCCGAGACCTTTGCAGCTTGGTGCTGCCCCTGCGCCCGCTGACTCACCCCGCTTTCTCCTGGCTCTCCCCGCCCGGCCGCAGCCCTTCGGCCTCGCCTCGTGTGCCGGGCCC